TCCTCATCCGCCTCCCCCTTCCCCTCCCGTACTTCCCCCCTTCTCGTTCTCCTCCACCAACTCCCGTTCTCCTCCCCCTCCGCCTCCTGCCCCTCCTCCTCGTCCTCCTCCTCCCCTCCTCCCCCCCTCCTCTTTCTCCTCCAGCTCCTCCTCTTCATATGCCTTCTCCTCCCTTCTCCTCTTCAGATGTTATCCTCCTTACTCCGCCTTCTTGTCCTACTCTTCGTCATCTTCCGCCCAACCCCCCTTTCTCCTCCTCATCCTTTCCCCCCACCCCCTCCTGCTTGCTGCTACCTAACGCAAGACGCACGCCCTCGAAACCTGAGGCCGGTGCGCAAAACTTCCATCCTTGCTACCGTCACGATGTCGGGGGATGCGACTGCCCTCCACCAGCGAGGAGGGGGTGGGGGGGTGAGGGGAGTTGAGCTCATTGTTCGCCCACGCTCGCCCCGCGCATGCGGAAGGGCAGGGATGGCGACTGACAGGACGGAGCGGCAAGAACAACGGCACGCGGCACAGCCACCTCCGCCATCACCCTCGCCGCCAGCGCCGCCGCATCCGGCACCACCGCATCAAAACACCGGCCCCTCCTCCCCCCGCCTTCATCCACCTGCTTACCGGCGCCGTCCACAAGGAGGTGGCCCGAGGGGGGCGGCCTACTACTGAGAAGGTCGTTTGGGCGGGCTCCTTGCAGGGCAGGGGCATTCTCAGAAGGGCCAGGCGGCTTCTGAGAAGCCTTCTCGGGAGCCTCTAGGGCCTTCCAAGGCGTACCCTGCCTTCTACGAAGCCGATCCTCCCTCTTAGAAGCCCACCGCCCTCGCGCCACCCCCCCTGTGGACGCCCCCAAAAACCTGCCCGTGGGAACCGAGCCCTTTCCGAAAGGTCCCCGGCCGAACGCTCGGCGGCACGCCAATGGGGCGCTTGCCATCGCTCGGACGCCCATTCCACGTGCACGGCTTGGTTCCGTGCACGGGTCTTTCCCAAGAGGGCCCAAAACTTCCGGAGCTTTGAGCAGGAAACGGCCGTCCTGGCAGTCCTGTAGGCCTACCACGACATGTTCTTAGAACAGAAACAGTCTAATAATGACAAGTATATTCTTAGAACGTATTCGATATATTCAACCAGAGAGTCTCAGCCAGAAACGTTCTAAGAACATTTCGTCCAAACCACAAGAGGCTCTTAGAACATTCTTTGCTGGGCCTATCGGCAAGTCAGGACGCCTCGCCACAAGCTTGAGCGCCGGCCTCGCCGAGAAACATGCAAACGTCCGAACGATGCCAAAAGCTCGGAGTCCCTGACCACGTCGCCGATGCGCCGGCACCGCCAGGCGCCAGCTGCTCCGCTCTGGGAGTTGGGGAGTGGGCGCTCCTGCGGCACCCAGGTCGACGCCGCAGTCCGTTTCCTGGCCCCCTCCTCCTTCTCACTTGCCCCGCGATGCTCGAAGGTGCTCTCGGTGGGGTCATTCGCTAGGGTTTTCTATCATCAAAAAAGGCTCCCCTCGTAAAGATGGACTTGGTAAGGACTCGTTGGTACGGGTGCCTTTGGTAACCGCTTCTTGGTAACGAGATATTCAGTAAGTATTCGTTCAGTCGTGGTTCTGGTTCATTCTAATACGGATAGCTTTAATGGCAAGCTTCCTTTAGTACGGGCCCATGTGTAATGATGATTGTAGCACTCGGTCCTCAAAAAGCTGTCCTCAAATTTGATTCATGTAGTAATGGTTATTTTCGTAGGGGGATCGTTACGGATGGTTTCTTTAGGAAGCGACCTTATGTGGAGGGTTTTTGATGATAGGACGCATCCGCCACCGTGCCTGTGGCCACGGAGTGGGCGGGTCCCCAGGTCATTTGCCAAATCCTCTGAGCCTCAGTCCTCAGTCCTGAGGAATCAATTCGGGTCCCCGCGTGCCCCCTGGGGTTCCTGGAGTTTTGGTCGCATGATTGTTGTTCTGGCCCGCGAGGGCCCCAAGACGAACCCAGAGGTCCCCAGCAGGCCCCCAAGACGGTACACCAGGGCCCTGAAACGCCGACAGATCGCTGCAAGACGCCCAAGATGGGCCCAACACGCCTGAAGAGGCCGCCAAGACACCCCAAGACGCCCCAAGAGGCCTCGAAGAGGCTTCCCATGAGGGGCCCGAAAGCCCAACATCTTTTACTGTCTTTAGGTTTTTGATAATTTTTGAGTTCCCGTCGTGTCGGCTTTCCCACGCTCCAAGACGGCCCAAGAGGCGCGGAGGGGGAGTCCAGGGGGGAGGGGGATTGGGAGAGAGAGGAGGAGGAGGAGGAGGAGGAGGAGGAGGAGGAGGAGGAGGAGGAGGAGGAGGAGGAGGAGGAGGAGGAGGAGGGAGGAGGAAGGGGAGGAGGGAGGGAGGAGGAGGAGGAGAAGGAGGAGGAGGTGGAGGCGGAGGCGGAGGCGGAGGAGGAGGAGGAGGAGGAGGAGGGAGTCGGAAGAGAAGGAGGAGTAGAAGAAGGAGCAAGGAGGGGAAATAAAGAGACCCGGAGGAGTATAGGGGGTGCAGGGAGGCGGCAGAGGATGAGGAACAGCAGCAGCAGGAGGGGGAGACGAGAGAGGGAGAGGGAGAGGAGGAGGAGGAGGAGGAGGAGGAGGGGAGGAGGAGGAGGAGGAGGAGGAGGAAGAGGAGAGATGAGGAGGAGGAGGAGAAGGAGAAGGGGAGGAGGTAGAGGAGAAGGAGGAATTCAGCGGCAGCGTTCAAAAAACACTGGTGCCGTCAGGGAAGCCAGGACATCGGGAGTTCGAGTAGGAGGCAATAGGGCGGGAGGGAAAGAGGGGGAGACGGATGAGCACGAGGGCGGGGGAGGCCTGCGTGGTCCGATCTGGGTACTCCAGTACGTTGTCTTTCTCCCTCCTCCTCCTCCTGCTCCTCCTCCTTTTCCTCCTCCTCTCCTCCTCCTCCTCTCTCCTCCTCTCCTCCTCCTCCTCCTCCTCCTCCTTTCCTCCTCTCACGTCCTCCCTCCTCCTCCTCCTCCTCCTCCTCCTCCTGCTCCACTCCTCCTCCTCCTCCTCTCTCCAATCCTCCTCTCCTCCTCTCCTCCCCTCCCCTCCTCCTCCCTCCATCTCCTCCTCCTCCTCCTCCTCCTCCTCCTCCTCCTCCTCCTCCTCCTCCTCCTCCCCCTCCTCGCACGTAGCTCGGATGAAGTGTGCCTTAGTCCATCTCTCTCATCTGTTGCACCATCTGCGCTCTGGCAGCGCGGGCATGAATTGTAATCTCTGCGTCATCCACCGCCACTCCCAGTCCCTTCACTGAATTATACATGTAAAAAACTAGCACCAGTCTCTGCAGTGCCATAGCTTGCCTCTCTGGTGTCAAAGAACGCGCCAGGCCAAGTCGAGCATCCAAATATCCTTCGACTGGTGTTTCAGGGTGCCACGCAATGGATACAGCAGCCCACAGAGCAGGGCACATAAGATAATGGGACTGGGAGTCGACAGCGTCCGTGCATCCGAATTTGCACGGCACATCAGTTTGAGTCATCATCCTCTCCGTCGTCCACCCGCCCACCACAGTTTTTAGCACCGATGCCTGCCATGCTGGTGGGAGCTCGGCCATCGCGTCTCTCATCGCAGGCCAATCGCATCCCGCTAAAGCACGCTTCGAGGGAGGACGGGACGCCCACTTCACCAGGCGTTTGAAAATCGTGGGGGCCAGCTTTTCCTGAAACATCGAGACATCGAGCTAGCCAACGAGCGGGCCAGCGACTTTTGAACAGGGGCCCGCGGGTTCTCCGACTGCGCTTCCTTTGAAGCTTTGAGCGCTGTCGCCATCGGAGCCCGCCAGCGGGCAGAGCCTGGAAAACCCGAGGCAGCCTCAGCAAGCACTTGGGCAATCGGCATACTCTTCCAGAAGGCCGGACACCACGATCCACCCAGGTACTGGGTCATGGGAAGAGCACGCTCAGCCGCTGCCCGAATTTTCGCCCACAGGGGCTTCCAATTGGTGACGGTAACCCGGGCAGATCTGATTAGGGCAGCGGCGCACTGGACACGAAGCGAGAGGGGCCTGAGCTTACTCCACTGTCTGAGGGCCAGCAGCTGGTCGAGTGGCAGGGAGAAAGGGGGCATCCTCAGAACCTTAGGTAGAGCCCAATATTCCAACTTTAAAATAGATTCAGGGATCGGAGACAGCTGAGCCAGATATCCAAACTTCGAGACAGCCCGACTATTGTACATGGCAATCATGATCGACGGCGGAGCTGCGGTCTCTGCAAGGCAACGAATGACTCCTCCCACCCACTCCCGAAACGCCCTGGCCCACACCTCCTCCTTCGCCTCGGGACCGAGCCACACGCCTAAGTACCCCGCGCTTCCCACAATGGGTATGCCGCACCAGCGCGGGGCAATTCCCTCAAGGGCAGCCGCGACCTGGGACCTGACCACCTCACTGAAGGCTTGGTGGACAGGGACCAGCCTACACTTCTGTATCTAGAGTTTCAAACCTGCCAACAATTCTGCCGCGTAAAAAACCCCCGAGAGACGCGCAAGAGCCCGAAGATCACCCACCAGAGCCCCCACGTCATCCGCACACACCCACTGCCGACCCAGGATGTTTCATCAGCCTCTTGCGCATGTCTCTGATCAGGGGGTCCATGATGAGAGCCCAAAGCGATCCTGAGTCAGGAGCACCTTGCATGATGCCTGGGCTGATGATGCAAAACGTCCGGAGGCAACCGAGCAGGGAGATCTTGGCCGCAGCGAACGTGTAAGTCGCTTGGGTCAGGCTCAAGAATCTTTCTGGGCGACCTGGGCCCAGAAGCACCACATTATCTAGGAAGTTCCTGCCAGGCAGGAAGCCTCTCTGGTCCTTGTGGGCTTGTGCAGCAATCGTCCCTTTAATTCGCTGGTTGCAGGCTGACGAGATAATTTTCACATCTGTATTATTTAAAGCAAGAGGGCGTGTGTTCTGCGGGGGCTCTCATGACAAAGGTACTATCCCGCTCTTCGCGACCCTTCGGTGCAAAGATAAGAAGGTAAGAAGGAAGTCATTAAGGGAGACAGGAGGGGGAAAACCAGCAAGTAGCTCGAGCATTAGTTCATATAGGATTTCTTGCGAGAGCGAAGATTGCTGCCATGCCGCGTACGGAAGGCCGTCAGGCCCAGGGGCCGTGGGTTTCGCGCCATGGATCACGAACGCAATCGACCCCATCGACGGCGGCGCAGCCAAGGACCAGTCAAAGGCATGCATATGCTTGCCTAAGTACTGATCAAGATGCCTCTGCGACGTCGAGCGGGGGGCGAAAACAGGGGCCCAGTGGGACCGAAGGGAAGAAACCATATCCGCAGAGGACACAAGGACCTCCCCACGCGCAGAGTCGACCACAGCCTGAAGCGGCAACGACTTTCCCTTCGGAGCCCACATCTTGGCACGCCTCCTCTCTGCTCTGACGTACGCTCGAATTCTTTTCCTCTCAGCAAATACAGGGGAGTCCTTCAGAGCAGTTTCAGCATGGTTCACACGGTCCTCCACAAGATCACGCTGAAGCTGCTCATACTGCCTCCTAGCATTCATCGGTCAGGAAAGCGAGACTGTATTGTCATTCGAAATCTCCAAAAACTCCGAGGCAACCGTCGTGGTCGCAAGAAGGGTCCGAGCCAAATTCACTAGGTTAAAATGCACAGCCCTCGAAATAGATCGGAAAATGACCATCTTGGCTTCCAGCGGGGGTGTTCTAGCACTCACTAGCTTATTCCTGGTCAGCCGAGCCGCTTCCCTCAGAAGACGTTTGTACTCAGCCCATTTCGCAATCGTCCTCCTCCGCCTCCGCCTCCGCCTCCGCCTCCTCCTCCTTCTCCTCCTCCTCCTCCGCCTCCGCCTCCGCCTCCGCCTCCTCCTCCTCCTACTCCTCCTCCGCCTCCTCCTCCTCCTCCTCCTCCTCCTCATCCTCCGCCCCCGCCTCCGCTTCCTCCTCGTCCTCCTCCTCCTCGTCCTCCTTCCTCCCCCTCCTCCTTCCTCCTCCTCCCTCCTCCTCAGGGAGAGCTCGAAGACCTCATGCCCCATGTCAGGTATGCCCAGATCGAAGAAGACTGCCAAGCCAGAAAGAAAAACGACCGAGGGTAGGATTCGGACTCAACGGTGCGGGTGACGCTCGCCCAGATCAGAAGACCTCGCGAGAAGCTGGCCCTAAAGAGCCAACACTGGCCAGGAGGCTGGATTGAAGCTGGCCGCCCCTTTGCCAACACAAGAAGAGGTCAACCCGGCCATGGCTGCGGCAAGCCCCCGATGATTTGGCAGAGGAAGGCACAGGGACGACTACCGCCTTCGAGGAGCAGGAGCAGGAGGAGGAGGAAGAGGATGATCAAGAGGAGCATGAGGGGATGGCTTGCGAGAGGGCGCCCCTGGATGCGCCGACCCCTCCGCGCAGCCAGCCGCACGCTGGCACCACCCCCGAGCACCGCCTTTCTGCGAGCGCCCCCCCTCCGAAAGGAAGTTGCCAAGTGGCTCTCACCACCACCACCAGTACTGGCCGGCGGGAAGGGCGGTCTTCCGAAACGCCGGCCGCTGGCTCACCTCTGCCCACCACGCGTGCAGCTTGGCGAGCTCGGCGGGCACCATGCCGTCCTCGAACAGGCGCTGCATCATGGGCGCCGCGGACACGTCCGCCACGCTGATCTCCTCGCCCGCCACGAAGGGGCCCGCCACGAGGCTGTCCATCTGCCTCAGCACGGCGCCCAGGCCAGCCGCTCGCGAGCCGCCGCACTTCGCCGCGCGGCCAGCGGGCAGGAGCTCCTCGTTGACCAGCCGCCGCCAAGAAGAGATCACCTCTGCGTCCGCGTCGCTGCCGACGCCCAGCGCAGGGGACGCCCTCTCGGCGATAGCGTCCACGATCACCTCGCTCTCGACGATGGGCCTACCGGCCTCGTCCAGCAGGACCGGCACCTTGCCGTTGGGGTTGATCTTCCAGAGCCACTTCGGCTTGGGGTACAGCTCGCACTCCCGCAGCTCGTACTCCAGCCCCGCCTCCTCTGGATGCGTGGTGGTCGACACCGAACCGACAAAACATGGCTGCCCATGCTAGACAGACATGAACAACCCTCTGTCGCAACAGTGTTGATTACGGGCCACGTCTACATCGCAGAGCGTGGGGCGGGGGCGGGAAGGGGCATGCCACTCCTCGACAAAACCTTGCCCGACCTGTGGCTGGCCGCCGCGATCGCCGCGGCGACTCCCAAACCCCACCCCAGAGGCTTGGTGCGGGGCCCGATGCCGCGCAACGATCCTCGATGCCGAACCAGGCCCGCTGCGCAAACGGGCACATCGGGTGCCCGACCAGGACGAGCCGCGACCCCACCCCGCCCTGCTCCGCCGGGCTCCCGGCGTCCGCGGCCGGCATCGCCCGCGGCGGCCCCGGGCCTCCCCACGGCGCACGGCCCGCAGGACCCCGAGGGCGAGGGGGCCTGGGCTCCACATCGAGCTGGCGGGAGGGCAACGGGCGAGGAGGAGGAGGAGGAGGAGGAGCAGGGGGAGGAGGAGGAGGAGGGGTTGAGCTCTCTCACTGCTCCCCTGGGGACGTCGTCTCACTCCGCAGGATCCATCGGGGTCCTACTTGTGCCGTGGGTCTGGCCTCGCCGCCAGCAGCGTGCGGACGATCGTTGCGCGCCGTTCGAGCGCCAAGGGCAACCTGCGCGGAACGAGGACACCGAGAATGGAATGCTGGCCCCGGGCTCCCTCCATCCTCCAGCGCCGCGCACAGTCGCCCCAAACAGAAGGCATCACTAACACCGATGGTGGGCGAGCCGTGAGCAACGCGTGGCTCTATCCTCAGCGCCGCGCGCACTCCTCGCGCGATCTCCCGTGCGCTACACAGGCGGAAGGCGAACTGTTTCTCGACCCGCCTCCCCCCCGCCTGCCCTGCCGCCCAGGCTTGCCCGCTTCGCCGTCCGGGACGCAAGCTCGTCGCCGCAATTCGCTCGGGTCGGACGGACGAGAGTGCACATGGCAAGATATGGGTTGGCGAGTCAACTCACGCAGCTGATTCTGCCAACGTCTCCAGGTGCCGAAGATGCTACAGCACTGAGGAGCTAGATAAATCGCATCGCAAGTTGCCAGTGGGGAATGCTGGGGCGATTATGGAGCTCCGTCGGGGGTGGTAGTGGGACCTGCGGCAATTCAATTTCGGGATCAGGGCGACGTGTAGGGGAGTCTTCGATGCTTCTGCAATGCTTCTTGCGCTTCTCTGGCTCCGTCCGAGGACCCGAGGAGGAGCTGAACGAACAAAATGTGTGCCTGAGTCTGGCTCCGTAGTGCACACCACCAGGGCCAAACCGCGGTGCATCGAAAGCCGCCCCCCCACTCCCTTTTGGCCACGCATCTGGGGCCAAAGCACGGGCAACGAAGATCAGAAAACCCCTCAGGGTCGCACCAGCAGGGCTTAACTTTCGATGACACTGGCATCTCGGGGGCAAATGCCCGATTTTCAAAACACTGAACCCAAACACGTTTACAGCCTCTGAAGACCGTTCGCATAGCCCCTGAAGAGCCTTCCAACTGCCTCTGAAGAGCCTTCGCAGAGCCTCTGAAGAGCATTCCCAGAGCCTCTGCAGAGCATCCCCAAATCCTCTGATGCTGATGCTGGTGGTGATAGTGGTGGTGATGATGCTGCTAATGATGATGATGATGATGATGATGATGATGATGATGATGACGATGATGATGATGATGATGGTGATGATGGTGATGATGGTGGCGGCGCTGCTGCTGCTGATGATGATGACGATGATGATCATGGTGCTGATGATGATGTTGATGCTGATGATGATGCTGGTGATGGTGATCATGATGCGGATGATGATAGCGATGATGATGGCGAATACGATGACGATAATGACGATGACGATGATTCGATGATAGATGTACTGATGATGATGATCATGCTGATGATGAGTATGATGATGATGATGATGATGATGATGATGGTGATGATGATCATGATGCAAGTGATGATGATGATGCTGGTGATGATGGTGGCCAGGCTGATGCTGATGATGATCATCGTCAAAATCCTGATGATAATGGTGATGACGATGATGATGGTGATGCTGGTGGTGGTGATGACGATGATGGTGGTCCTGACGGTGATGCCAATAATGACGGCGATGATGAAGATGATGATGATCATGAGTATGATGATGGCTGTGTTAATGGTCATGATAATGATCATGCTGAGTATGGTGATGTTGATCGTGATGATGATGGTTGTAAAGATGATGCTGCGGCTGATGATGATGATGATGATGATGATGATGATGATGATGATGATGGCGATGATGATGGCGATGCTGATGAGGGAGGAGGAAGAAGAGGAGAACGAGGAAGAGGAGGAGGAGATTGAGGAAGAGGAGCAGGAGGAATGCGAGGAATGCGAGCGAGGCTGTCACATGTGACGCCTTTTCCGTCCCCAGTTCGCGAGAAACTCTCATGGAGCTCGTTCGATCCAGCTTGGGGGCATTGTAGGGCCGTCTATCGTCTAAGGGCTGCCTTGGGCCGTTTGTCTGAGGTCATCTTAGGGATCGCTTGGAATTGTTGTTGGGGCGTACTCCCACTCGTCCGCGTCATTCGCTGCAGTCGTCCGAGGGGGAAGAGGGGAAGAAGGACGAGAAGGAGAAGGAAGAGGAGGGGGAGGAGGAGCACCGGGAGCAGTGAAGGTTAATGCTTCAGGGGGACGAGGAAGGAGGGCGAGTAGAATGCTGACGATGACGATGGTGCGGGGATGGTGGTGCTAGTGGTGGTGATGATAATGATGATGATGATGCTGATGCTGATGCTGCTGATGATGATGTGAATGATGATGCTGCTGATGATGATGTGAATGATGATGCTGCGGATGCTGATGGTGATGATGGCGATGACGATGATAACGATGATGATGGCGACGATTATGATGAGGAGTATGACGGTGAGTGGAGTGTGATGATGCTGATGATGGTGCTGTTGTTGTTAATGTTGTATATGATGAGCATGATGGTGATGCTGATGATGATGACGCTGCCGACGATGCGGATGATATACCGATGGCGGTTCTGCGGCTGTTGATGGTCATTCGGATGATTATGATGTTTATGGTGGTTATGCTACCGATTATGATGATACTGATGGTGATGATGATGCTGATGCTGACACTGGTGATGTTGAGGATGGTTGTGATTGCAGTGGCGATGGAAATGACGGTACCGATGTCGGTGACGACGATGCTGATGATGATGCCACTGATGGTACTGATGCTGCTGCTGCTGCTGCTGCTGATGATGATGATGATGATGATGATGATGATGATGATTGCGACGATGATTCTGAGTATGATGATGGTCATGCTGATAGTGATGATACTGGTGGTGATGCTGATGATACCGACGATTCCCACAACGATGGCGACAACGGGCATGATGCTGGTGATGGCGATGCTGATGATGCTGCTGGTGGTGCTGCGGGGGGGGGGATGAGGAGGCGGAAGAGGAGGAGGAGCGTGGGTTGAGGAATAGGGTCGATGAGGACTGGGGAGGAGGGGGAGACCGAGGTTGGAGAGGGGAAGTGGGGAATGGAGGGCGTCCTTCGGTGTCGTCAACCGCCCGTCGCCAGTCGTCAATCGTCACCCTCGTCGTCGCCGTCGTCGTCGTCCTTGTCGCCGCCGTCTTCGGTCGTCGGTCGTCAGCCGCTGCTGCTGACGTGCTCTGTCGCGCGCCCTCTCCCACCCTTCCCCCCCCTGCCAGGAGATGCGGGTAAGGGGGAGGAGGATGATGCCGATGACGCTGACAAGGAGCAAAGTACATATAGGAGAAGGAGGAGGGGCATGACACGGAGGATACGTGGTGCATGAGGCGGGCGAGGAGGGATCCTGAATAGAATGATGGTCATGACGAAGTGGTGATGGTGATGATGGTGACGATGAGGTCAACGATGATGAGGATGGTTATGATGCTGCAACTGATGATGATGGTGATGATGATACTGGTTATGATGATGATGATGGTGATGACCATGATGCTGATACCCATGGCGATGCTGATGGTGATGATGATGCCGACGACGATGGTGATGATGACGATGCTGATGGTGCCGATGACGACCACGGTGACGGCTTTGATAATGCCGATGACGATGACGATGATACGTATGACTATGATGATGATGACTATGATGAGGACCATGCTGATGATGCGGATGATGTTGACGGTGGCGATGATGATGATGCTGCTGATGATGGTGATGACGACGATGGCGATGCTGATGATGATGCTGATGGTGGTGTGGGGAAGATGGAAGGGGACAAGGAGGAGGGGGGATGAGGAGAAGGCTGAGGAGGGGGAACGCGAGGAACGCTGTCCCATCTTGCGCAAGTTCGCCCCTAGTTCTGGGGAGCCCACATGGCGATTATTTGGACCAACGTGGGGCCCTCTTTGGGCCGTGTGTGGGGCCGTTCCCAGGCCGCTTATGATGCCTCTTGGGTCATTTTGGGGCGCGTCCTCATTCGTCGTGGTCATTCGGTGCGGTCGTCAGCGAAATGAGGAGGGTGGGGAGAGAACGTGGGAGGAGGAGGAGAAGGATCGATGAGGAATGAGGGGGGGCGGGGTTGGAGAGGGAAGTGGATGATGGAACGCGTCTTCGTCGTTGTCTTTCGTCGTCGCCGTCGTCAATCGTCAATCGTCAATCGTCTTCCTCGTCGCCGCTACCGTCGTCCTCGTGACCGTCTTCTGTAGTCGTCGGTCGTCGGTCGTCGGTCGCTGCCGCCGTCGTGCTCTCGCGGGCGCGCGCGCGGTGAGACGAGGGGAGGGTGAGGAGGACGTTGATGAGCTGATTTGGGGCCGTCTTGGGCTCCTGAAGGGCAGTCTGGGGGGTCCCTTGGAGCTGTGTCTTGGGAGCCCTTGGGGCCGTTGTGAGATTCTCCTGGGCCGTCTTGAGGCCCTCTAGGCAGTCGAGACGGCATCCTAAGACCATCCTGGGCTGTATACGGGCCCTCTTCGGCAATCATGAGGCAGTCATATGCGCAGAGTCCGTGTTATCTACCTGGCGCTGGTGCTTTGGATGCGTTTTGTAAAATCCCACCAGCCCTCTAGGCGTCGGTGGTTTAGGGCGGTTCCTCTTCCACCCCTCCCTCTTCCCCCTTCGGGGAGGGATTTACCCCTCCCCCTACCCCCTCCCCGCTGACCTGGACAGGAGGGGCGGGGAGCGGTCAGAGCGTCCAAAACAGCCCTGGCGAGGAAGCCAAAATCATTGATTTTAGCAGAGTTTTGGCACCATTTTGGCCTCCTGGGGGGGCACCGCTAATTAAAGCTCAGCTCTTCTTTGATAGATCTCCTCCAAGATGGCACAGAGAAGCGCCCAGGAGGCCCCAAGAGGTCCCAAGATGGCCCCAAGATGGCACCACGAGGCCCCCAAGAGGCCCCCAGAAGGCCCCCAAGAAGACCCTCAGAGGCCCCAAG